TACGATCGGAAGGCTAATTGAAACGAAACGAGGAATGCTAAATAATCCCAGATCATTTCTTCAAACGCGAACAAAGATCTAAAGTCGAAGACCTTTCTCTCGTTCTTGCTTTCTAAATTACAGATCATACGGTATAAAGCAAGTTTGGACATACTTTATTGAGAATAAGAAATAACAGCTTAACATGGAAGTGATTTTAGTTGGAACAATCGATCTTTAATACTAGTATTCAAATATTCATTACTTCATTTTACAAAATATTCTTCGTTATTATTTATAAGTAATAAGTAAAATAAACAGGTTCGTACAATTACGTTCCTGTCTAAACAGAAAACGATAACAAAAATAATTTTTACAAAAATGTCTATCTTTTAACACTTTAGCGTTTAGTCCGTAGTAGAATATTGTACAGATACTTTTATAATTAATAATAAAAGTTCAAAGAGTATGAATGTATCAAAAGGCTGAAGATGAATGCATTTTTAATTTGTTATACCTTTCATTCAAAATTTTTTGGACTTTTGGTAATTTTAAAGACAATGGGTTAATTGTAAAATAATAAAATAATTGATTTACTCATTATTAAAATTTCAAAAAGGATAACGTATTATCGTATATTGAATAAATATATGTTTAAAGATGAATGCATTCTTAGTTTGTTGTATATTAATTAAAAATTTGTTTCAAGCTTTCAAGCAATTGTAAAGAAAGAAAATCCGCCATGTTGGCAGGTTTGATTGCCTAGAGTGTTAGAAGCGAAGTAATTTTATTTAGCGCGAGGCTCAAATAATTTCTTAATTGTGTCAATCTTGAGTACTTAGACAAAGCGACAGGCAACATAATATTAAATGTTGAAATACGTAGATTAGAAAATAATATTTGAGATTATTGTCTGAATGAAAATTTACTCAAAATTTACTAAATGAGAAGTTATTTCGCTCGAAAGTCAAACAATGAAATAATGATTGTTTCAAATATCATTCAGCTCGTCATTTTCGAAGTAGAATATCGTCCAAATCGTCCGAGTGAGAGCCAGAAGGAAGAAAACTTCCTCTTTAACAAATAAAAAGAAGAAATGATTGCGATGTCGCGGCACGTGGAATGCAACGCTCTTGCCGCCGTCTGGTTGTGGCGGAATTTTCGAAAGTTTCCCAGCCGGAAGAGAATTTCAAGGAACTATGCGCGTCGCGTGAAAAAGAGCGTCGATATTGAGAATCGAGCTTTAGCTGTTGCCCACGTGAAATGGATCCGTTTTGGCCCAACTCTTGCTCGAACGGCGAGCATTACGAACTTTACCTGATACATATGTGGTGGTATCAACCTGTGGTGCATTCTGGTCCTGATATTACGGGCATCGAAGACAGAAGTAACTTACGGGATCCTGTTACCTGACGATTTCAATGGACACGAGAGAAATCATCTTCGATGCATCGAATGAAAATGTTCGAGTACTCGCGCCGAAGATGGATTTAAATCCTCATTCTATGAACTACGAGTTTATTCAAGGGAAATCCTCTCATTTCTCTTTACTTGTCTAATGGATAATTGCAACTTTTACACGCGACGAATGAAAATTTAAGATTTATCTTCGATGGAAAATCAGACGGTTATCTGCAATCTACAGTTTTTTTTTTTTTATTTCTATCGTATTTTCTTATCTTTATTCTAGTCTGTTCTCAAGCCAATCTGGAATTTGGAATCTGAAATGGCGCTTGCAGCAATAGATACCATATAAAAATTCCTTTACTGAGAAACACGTCGACACGCCTTGATTAAAGTCAATTCACAGCGGGATACAATCGGCGTAAACGCATAGCGGCGGGAAATTCGTACCACTGTGATAAACTATAATGCTCGAGGGGCTAAATACTAATATTACACCCTCGTTGGTTATATCGGGCAGAGTCTATATTGAAATTTATAATTGTTTCCTCTAGGAAAAACATATGGATTGCAACTGAATCTTCTTTTGCATTTTTGCAATAATGATTGAGATTGCGAAATGAAATCCGAAGGATTTGCTTAATATTTTCCCATCATCACATCTTATGCTAATCTTATTCAAGTATCTCTAATATTGTCATAAATTATTGCTGAATCCTTGGTCCCTTGTCTTGCAATTCCCTTCATTAATCATTATAACACGTTCGAAGAATCAGAATTTAAAATTCAAGTTAACATTCATATTGCTTTTTTCCTTTCTCAAATGAACTCGATAACTTGTAACTCAGGAGAATTTGAAAGGTTCGCTCAATATATTTTCACCGTCGTATCTTCTATAGATTCTAGATTCCTAAGAATCTCGAAAAAGAATATGTAGATTACAAATTTAGAAGAAGGATCTATTCCATATGTTTATCTATCTATAAATCTGGAAGAGGAGTTTTATAGATTCCGTCTGTTTAAAACTCTACAGATTTTATAGATTTTACAATTTCATAAAATCCAACGAAGTTCTATGAAATCGGAATATCCACGATATCAATGACGAATGATTAGTCGATTTGCGAACATAATTCGTACATGTACTGTTTACGACGTTCTCTCGATGTTAATGCCTGCATTATTTATTCGCGACGTTCGTTCGAAAATTACGAACTCGCCTTGAACACACGCTTGACGTTAACGGCACCTGGCACAAAAACAATCTGCACCCGAAGACTCAGAATTTCGAACATCCGCGGGGAACTGTACAGAAATTTCAAATTAGTTATGACGTGATACGATGAATGATGAATGGTAGGTCTGGTCTGGCCGATTCGACCGGCACCGCTCGACATTTCCACCCATTTCATCGTGCAACAAACTCCTGAGAATTTGAGAACTCGAATAAGCATTATCGAACTGCTTGACGGCGTGCTGCCATGGTCAATGCACCGCAAGCGATATATCTAGCGATATATTCCGCACACATCCACGCTACTGTCCGAAATTAAAGGTAACCGAAGCTTTCAGGTCAATTACCATAACTCGATAGACGAGTTAGTTACCACTACCAGTTATCCGCCTGCTCGCTGTAATTGTTACATTTGTTGTTGTTGGGTAACTAAGCGAACGAAGAAAGTTTCCAATTAACCGGCTAATTAACATGGAAGAGGCTTTGCCAATTTTCCACGTATTTCAGAAGCTTACGGAAACGAGTATACATTAGTGGTGCTCGTGATGTAATGTTTTCTTCTAAATTTAATAGTCAAATTGCCATTTAGCGACAATAATTTAACTTATTGTAATATAATATATTACACCCTAGTTAAATATATTGACATTTAGCGTGCTTATCGTTAAATTATATTGTAGATTAAAGCTGTATTAATTCTTGAGTAAAATATAATTTCGTGCAGTATCAAAAGTGTGCTCATTGTTAAATTATATTATAGATTAAAACTGTATTCACTCTTAAATGAAATGAAATTTTCTACAGTACCGAGGAACTGATATTATGTTTAAAGCTTCATCGATGATGACTTGAAATACAAATAATCTCTCACGCTCGAACAAGTTTAGGGCACGTTGAGATTTCAGAAGAAATAATGATTTTTTTCTAACGAGTGAGCGCCAATATTAATTTCTTATATTAGCGACATTTTAATTAATTAAATTTAACGATCAAAGTACGTTAATTACGATATTCTTGTTTCATCAGAAAAACGTAGGAAGAAGTTTGTTTCGTCTAAGAAGTAAGGGGTGTTCTAAACTTTCGAGCAAAAGCGTAAAAGTTACACGATATTTATTACGTTCATTATATTTTACATATTAATAATATTGTTTCGTAACATTTTTATCATGCAAAGTGAATATTTTTAATTATCCTATAAATATTTATATCTTAGAGGGGATACCAATTGACTTTTGAAAATGTTCAAATAAAATCAGATCACCGTTTGACATTCACAAACTCAAAAATTAACTTCGAAGACACATCTCTTTTTTCTTTTTTTAATCACTAGATGCAAATATCGCTTGCGTCACATCTCATTTATAGACACGGTTTAATGAGAAACGTTTACATAAGCGCAATTATATAAATTGATCGAGCGCGTTAATTAATTGAAATAAGATATCTGCTTCAATTAAGATCCGACGATTGAAACGCGTGTGATTGAAATTCACAAAAATTCTCCACCGAATAACTGGCTTTCAAACATAGAAATTTGCTGGGAAATAACTGCTCCCGTAAGAAACTTGACCGCAAATTTACGAGAGATATTTTCGATACATCCGCTTGTAAGTTTCACCTTTATGCTCGCTGAAACCATCGCACAAAAGTACGTCGAAGTGATCCCCGTTTCAGGATTATCCCTTGACACAAAATATCTGCTCCCGTAGCGCAGGAAGTACGAATACTCGAAATGGCTGAACTGAGATCGAGTTTAGATGTTCCGCGTCTAGTTTCATAATAATCGTCTCCCGGTGCAAGTTGAAATTTCAGCGAATGCGAAGACGCGCACGAAATCCGGCAGATTATTTCACGCACGGCGATTCGACAATTCCCGAAGATTAACTACTTTTGATTCAATTTACTTTTGCGTTGAATTTAATTTCTGATTTTAGTCACTGCCTCGTAACGTTTAACTGCTACTCTGCACTTTCTGAAGTTAGCTTAAAGGCGTAGGCGTTACTCTTCGAATTTTCACCTTAATTTAACACTTCAGTATTCTATAATTACCACCCTTCAACCTTAGGTTAGTTGTTCATTTTAATTTCCTAATATTTAATTGCCAGACTGCGGATTTCTAAGCGTCGTGGAAAATTTATCAAGTGAGAAAAGC